ATTTTTTAATATTCATGCAATTGTTTAAATAAATGTAAATTTTGTTTAACGTTTCTGTAGAGTACTGACTTTGGAGGGGGAAATTTTCATCGAAAAAAGTATCATATCGAAATCATTTAATATTTAAAAAATATTAACAAGTATGTAATGCTTATACTAGTACATATATGTTTAAACAATGTGAAATATAAAAAGAGTGTATTAGATTATTTAAATAATTGTTAAATAATAAATGGAAATGTATATTGTAACGTAAAATTGAAGATGTACCTGCTGATGTACCTTCCTCTTYGAAATCTTCTGTTAGACTGAGACGTTGTCACAGAAAAAAGCTTTTTATATCGAAAGTTGTTTATATGGCTTTTTGAAAGTTGCGCATGTGAGTATAACGAAAATATTAATTGAATTAAATAGAAATTAAGATTATAACGTTCTGATTTTATATTTTTTAATTTTCATGTAATTGTTTAAATAAATGTAAATTTGGTTTAACGTTTCTGTGCAGTGCTGACTTTGGAGGGGGAAATTTTCAACGAAAAGAGTATCATATCGAAATCGTTTAATATTTAAAGAATGTTAATAAGTATGTAATGCTTATACTAGTACATATATGTTGGAACAATATGAAATATAAAGAGAGTGTATCCAAGCATTAAAAAAATTGTTTAATAATCGATAGATGTGTCTTTTATTGTTAAAAAGCTCGGAATATATGTTGAGAGCTCCGTCCTCTTCGAAATCCACCTTGAGAATGGCACTTTCTCTTCTATGTAATTACTTTTATTGAAAGTTGTTTATATGACTTTCTGAACGTTGCGCATGTGTAAAAAAGGAATAATTGATCTAATCAAATAAATTTTAGATTATAACGTTCTCATTTTAGTATTCTTTTAATTTTTATGTAATTGTTTAAACTAACGTACATTTTTTTTATTGTTCCTGTGCAGTGCTGACTTCGGAGTGAGAAATTGTCATCGAAAAAAATATCATATCGAAAATATTGAATATTTAAAGTATGTTAAGAAGTATATGTGATGCTTATATTAGTACATATATGTTTAAACAATCTGAAATATAAAGAAAGTTTATTAGAGTAATAAAATAATTGTTAATTAATCGATAAAACTGTCTATTGTTATTAAAAAGCTCGGAATATATGATCTATGCACTGTCCTCTTCGAAATCTACCGTTGAAATGAGCCTTTGTCTTCTCTTTAAATACTATTATTTAATATTGCTTATATGACTTTCCTAACGTTGCGCATGTGTTTAACGAGAATATTATTTATAATAAATAGAAATGAAGATTATAACGTTCTGATTTTAGTATTTTTATCTATTTCATGTGATTTTATAAACGTTCCTTATAATAGGATATTCTAATCTTTGATAGTATTTTACAGTCATAGCTTTAAGTATCTTCTATCGTCCACTGGTGGTCCTGCTCGTAACTAAAAAAAAGGGACTTGTGAGCTTCTATGTACTTCAATATTCTTACCGATATATCTCCTGCAGGTATACTAACTTTACTTTCATTTTTTTCAAAGTGCGCTTGAGCCTTGAATTTGTGGTTGCGCATGCGTATAACATATCTCCTATTCATGACACTTCTATTTCATAATTATTCAAAGTGTAATAATTATTTTCAATTAATTAACGATAAAAAAAATATTTGATAAAGTAAAGTTGAGCAAATAGTGATCAATTAAGAGCACTTATTTATTTTTTTCTGCTGTTAATGATACTGGCTAGCGTATCTATGGTGCCGGACAAACAAAAAGTGGACAATTGATAAAAGAACATGAAACAATAGAAAACTTCATTGCTTTGCTTGGAAATTTTACCGTCTATCGGTACTAGCAGATTTCTTTATTTGTTTTTTAGCAGCTATAGTAGATTCCTAATTTATTAAATGTCGCTAATAACAGATTCTTGATGGTATTCTCTGCCGATATTTAATGATACATGCATCATAATTTCTTGCTTTTGTTAACGAAATGATAATTTGTTCATATCACCTTCTATCTTTATTATACACAAACTATAATTGAAGAAGTATTCCTTAAAAATTTTGGTATATTAATTTATTACAATTTTCAACAAATACGACTAATAAGAATTTCTTAAGATATATTGATAATTATGCCTTGTGTATTATATAATTGAAACAATATTAACTAATATTACAAGTATACCCAATTGTAAGTTATGGGCATTACTTATAGTTGTTAAATTATTGCGCGTACATTTAATATTTATTTTTCCTTTCAAGATGTTCAACTTGTATACTTTGATTTTCTTCTTATGTAAAAAAAGAAGGAAAACTAATTTCTAATAAACTTTAATAATTTTTGTAATCTTGCTTTTCAATAATGTCGCGGCGGATATCAGGTTATCGAATATATTTCATACGCGATGGAAATGATTTGTATTTTATATATATATATTCGGGATTTAAAATAAATTTATTTATAATTTCTTGTACACTTCTTTATATATATACGTTCACGTTCTTACACATTCTTAGCACACAAATATATTATATATTACTCTTTGGGTAAGGTTTAAAGAATACATTTTGTATCTTAGGACGTCATCATGTAGAGTTCTATTTACAAGAGACGCCTATTTGTTCAAAAATACACGAACTAATAAAGTTGAATTATGATAAAGTAAATTAAAAGTTTAACATAAAATTCAATCGTTCTTCGTCTATACATATTTTGTTCTTTTTCTTTTTTCTCTTCTTTCCAATTTTGAATTTTTCTTTATAATGAATTTCCTATTGAAATATAATTATAACGAAAAAAGCAGATTCCAATAGAAACGCTTTGTACAACGTATCAACCGTATTTGATTTTAGGTTGAAAAAAAGAGGAAAAAAATAGAAAACAATAAAGACATGCGTCTAAAAATTGCATATCTCATGCAATTAAATTTCGTTAAAAATAATCACGAGAATATAAGAATTGCTAGTAAATCGTACATACATATATTATACATACACGCAAAGCTAAGTAAATACTAACGTACATACTTTACTTAACATTCAATGTGTTTATCAACGAGCGTACCGCGCGAAAAAATGTTGACGTCGATACTTAAAAATGTGGTTCTAACGGCTGATATCGATAGAAATAAATTTACTATGTTCACAATCAGTGTGTAACATTGTAAATTTATTATATTAAATTATAAAACTCTGTGATTTAATATATTTTCATCTTGTCGATATCGTCGTTAGATCAAGTTTGGTATAGATGTCAATATCTTTAATCTATTATAATTGTTATGATACAGCTAGGTGATTAAGCTAAATAATGCATACATTGATTTATTACACTGCACTGAAATTAAAACGTATCGCAAGCGATTATCCGTTTTCCCTATAGAAAATATTACTTCATTAATCAATATGCATTATATTTTAATTGTATTTCATAATTTTTCTTTAACAAAAGTCCATTTCTTTAAGTAAGAAAGTTATCCTTCTCATTTTTGAGCCTTTCTTTATCACCGTCACGGAGCCAACGAAAGTGCTCCGACGTTAAACATTTTCTACGTATATGATTTCTTCTCTAATAAATCTATTACATAAGATCAATGAAAAAACAATTCTACGATCTCTCAGCATGGGCCGTTGTCGTTGAAGTTATGACCGAGACCAGGTCACCGTTGGGCTGACTAGTGATTGGTTCTAGTGGTGGCACGCTGCAAAACGTCCAATAAAAATTCGTTAGTTATAGCATATTACAAAAATACATACTTAAATGCGTACATCAAATTCTTGAAAAGAAAAAAATGCAAAAGAAATCAAAATCGTTCAACAATTGGATTCACTCGGACAATGTTAAGTAGAAAAAAAATAACACTTTATTTAATTCAAATGATTGCCTATTATTCTTTTTTTTAAATCTTCATAAATCTTTAATCGAACTTAATATATTTGAAGAAGAGATTACGCGTAATGAGGGTTGCTCACTTACGTAAGGGTAGTTTGACGATTCAATACGGCGACAGTAGGTAATGTGAGGGGCGAATGTGCATGCCCTAATTGTGCCGTTGTTGGTGTACCTACAGAAAGACAATGTTCTTCTACCCCTTCACCCCCACCCCCGCTTGCAAACATGTTCAACTGCAACGAGTCCACTGCAATATTAACAAACAAAACAAAAGATTGATCGATAAGACTTTCAACATTTTTCTAATTTATCTCATTATTTTGTTCATACTTCTCTTTTTTCTTTTATTATTGATTATCATCTTAAAAGTTATTATTTCATTGTTATCAATAATAATAATAATAATAATAATAATGATCATTAAATTATCAATAACGAATCTAAGATTTAATTTTACTTTCTATTACAATTGTACCACTATGTCGAAAGAAATACATATATACGTATTTTGTATTCATTTAAAAATATTCATCTTTATAAAAAAACATATTGTTAATAGATTACAATTTGAAGAGGAAATGAGACAAAAAGAGATATAAAAAGAAAGATAGTAATAACTCTTTCTTTTTTTTCCTCCGTATGTTTCTTTCCCTCGATCGACATTTTAAGAAAAATCACTTATCGTTATCTTATATATCGATCATGAATCCGAGAGAGAAAGGGAAATAGTGCGATTTATTTCACGCGATCGTTGCAATGAAATTCACATTACGTCCGTGCATTTTTCTAACTGTTACATAGAAATATGTTATGTACTTTAAGATAACAAAACGTAGTCGTGCGAGATAGCTCGATTTGTTTTTCGATTGAACAGTAAAGGAAAAATAAAAGAAAAATGAAAAGAAACAAACAGAAAAAAAAATTTTTGTTTTCCAACGAACGCGCGAGAAGAAAAAAAGAGAAATAGAAGGCAAATCGAACGTATGTTTGTTTACATTCTTGTTTAAGGTAAATACTTTCTTTTTATTGCCTGTGTAGGTACACCTAATCGAACGATTTTTCAAACATATATTAAACACTAAACGTGTTGACGTGTAAGAAAAGGAGGTAAGGAAATAGAGAAACGAAGAAAGGACGAAGAAGAAGAAGAAGAAGAAGAAGAAGAAAAAAATAAAAAATTTCAAAAGAAATTTTAATTTTATTCGGGTAGTTCTTCTTATCATGTTTTTTTTTCTTGTTCTTGTTCTTGCCAATAAATCGTAACGAAATAATGTAACTTGCTCACCAGAGACTCACCGAGTAAGCTGGACTTAATCTCGGTCTTGATACCGCTCGGTCCAGGAAGATTCCCACTTACACCCGAATGATTCTTTGGTTTTCTCTTTCGCGTTTGTATTCCTTCCTTTTTCATGCTCAACGGCCTGTTTACCTGTAATTTTTATTTACTTTATGTATCACTTAATATAGAAGAAAAAAAATACAAGAAAATAAGAATAATATGAAAAAGAAGAATGGAACAAAAAAATATAATGATAATTTATTTAAAAAGAGATGACGCGTCCACATTATTTTTATTGAAATATAATAATAGGAAAATTATTTAACGTAAATCTAATGTAAACTGAAGAAATGAAAGAATATGTGGCAACAAAAAATAAGATAATAATGGATTAGGTAAATAATTATTAGAATTATCATCTTCTAAAAATTCTTATAATTAACGTTAAATTAATTTTTGTAGTAATTGAAATAATTATTGTAGGATTCGTGAAAAAATTTGGCCGTTGGACTGATTGAACCGGAACTTAAACCTATAGGTCTGTCGTGTTCAGGGCCCGTGGTCAATTTCCACACACGAATGTTTATTATATTTGATATAGAAGTTTCTAAATCTCACATTATTATAATTTAAATATAATGTCAATGATTCAAAAACTATTGCTAATAGCATCGAAATTCTAAGTATACTCGTAAACAATATTACAAAGTGCAGTTATTAAACAACGCTTATGCTATTGCATTATTGTTCGGAAATGTCTTAAATCTTTCCAATAAGATCAATGTAAACTTTGATCAATTTGTTTAAACGGTATCAAAGATTTTTTCGCGTAGTAAGTATGATGACAAAATAAAATTTTAAAAAAGAAATAATAATAATAATAATAATAATAACAATAATAAAGAAATACAGGTAGATTAATATTTGCGTTGTTGAAGTAATTTTTTTTGAGAACCGAAAATTAAAACCTCCCTCCTCACTTCACCCCACCTCCGCCGTCACGCCAACAAAAAAAAAAAAAAGAAAAAAGATCTATCGACGATAATCTGACGACTCTCCGCGTTTTCAAGGAAAGAACGTTACAAAAACAATTCAACCGGTTCTCTTATCGTAACTGGACGATCGACAAAAATTTCGCGATAAGAGCTAGCTGACCAATCGCAACGAGATTAATGTTAATTAAAAATGATTTACACTGTGTCGTCCAAGTGCCGTAAAGTGTCGCATCTATCTCGAAAGGGTAAACTACAAAAAAGAGAAAAAAAAAAACTTCTTCACCGAAGCGATGACGATCGCGAATCAATAGAAAATGATTGTGCAACGAATGTAAAAAACTATTTCACTTTTTTTTTTCTAATTACCTTTGAACGAAGAACTCACAATTCTTTTTCTTTTCTTTTTATTTTCTTCGCGATTTCAATTCGATTTTGTTCATTCAATCAATTCTTAACTCCCTTTTTTTTTCTTCTATTTATCATTTAAACGAATTCGCAAGGTAAGATAATGCATCGATGCAATTTCCCAAGTTAAGTAATTTTAACAAGACCGATAAGATCAAAAATCAATCGACATAGAATTGATCGAACTTCTTCGAATGATTTTGTTGTAACACGTTATCAATGAGTATTATATATGCATCAACATATCATATATGTATTGATATACCTGCTGAACAATTTATATCTTTTTTTTTTTTTCTTTTTTTAATTTTTAAACTACAATTGAATTACAAGTATTATAAACAACGCGTGCGAGTAGACAGATAAAAAGATATAGAAAAAAAAGAAAGAAAAGAATGTACGTAAAAGTAATCTTTTTCGATATCGTTTGGGTACTCGCTTCCAGGAGTAGAACGAGAGGAGCAGAAACCGGAGATGACTTGTTTATTTTGCGTGTGCTAGCTTTGCGCCTCTTTATATACTGCTGTCAACCCACGCAAGAAGAAGGGTCTTGCGTGCAAAGAAAAAGAGAGAGAAAGAAGAAAGAATGAAAAGAGAGAAGAAAAAGGGAAATAAAAAGAAAAAGAAAAAGAGATGACACATTGTTAAAGTACACAGGACCATATAACTGCCGCGAAAGAAAGAGAGAAAGAGAGAGAGAGAGAGAAAGAGATTCGACCTCCTTTATTTGCTGCCTTTACTGCATTTGCTTTAACCCGCGTCTTTTATTGTTCCGCGTCAACGTTTCTATCTTTTTTTATACTTCGCCCGATATCAGCCTATTTGCTTCACATTCTTACGTAAAAACGATCACAACGAGACGATCTCAGTTATCCACCTTATGTGGGTGCGTTTGTGTGTGTGTGTGTTATTCCTTTAAAATTAATTAGAAATAGATCTAATTAATCCAAATGATTTATTGAAAAATAAAATATCTATCGATCATTTGTTTAATTGTAAAAGTAAAAAAAAAAAAATCAAAACCTAAAAGATTATTACTTTGACGTTACTTGAAAATGGTTTGTTAAACGAAGTTTCGCCTAAAATTCTTTGCAAGAAGATTTTTATAGAGACTTTCGTGTTTAATTAGTCAGCAATTGTGCAAACAATACGATCAATCGCGAATAAGTGCACCTCGAGTAAACATCTCGTTCTCTTCGTAAGTTTCGAGAAATACATAAATCGTTTCGTTTTATATAGAGATTATTATTTTCAAGATTTAGTTTTTTTAAATGAAATTTTTGATGATAACGGTTAATATGAATGAATTTTAAAGTAGAATTATATTGAATACTTACATTGTGTAGTTTGAAATAAAGACCGCAGGCATTGCACACGGGTTCGCCGTTGTTGTTTCGTCGCCATAAAGTCGTGTTACTTGTTCTACAATTTGCACATTGCACCCCTGTCCTTCTTACATTAGCCTGTAATATAATAATGAAAATATTTTTATTCTTAATAAGACAATTATTTGAACGATTTATTTTAAAGGAAAATCTTAATGAGTCGGGCTTGACGTTCGAGATCACGAAAATGGGAGTGTGCTCCGGGTAAGGAAACTAGAGCAAACAACAGCCGCTGTGAGCTCCGAGAGTAGTTATTTGCTCGGTTAAAGATAACGAACGTCTTCTCACTGTCTTGGATCAACGCGAGGGACGACGCACACGTAAAGGAAAGCTACAAACATTATTTAATATTGAAGTCATGTGAGATGTACCACGGACAAGAACATTTATCAGCACAAACATTGCTGACCTCGTTTCGTCGATGGTCAAACTTTCTGTCCATTGATCGAACAGAGAGAAAAAAAATTCTTAAAAAAAAATTCAAGAAAAAATAAGAGGAACTAGATCTCCTAATTATATCTCATTTGTTTCTACGATACCTGAAATTATCTACGTGACTAATAGTAGACAATGATTCGCACGAATACTATTACGATTGTAGCTTAAAACAAGTGTACATATCATTTATGTTCAGTCAAAAGTTATTAACCACGTTTTTATCTTTATATTTATGAGAAAATTACTTTATTAGATTAGTCATTATTCCATAAAAGGCGTTAATCAGTAGTGTGTGAAGGTATTAACAAGAAACACATTTTTCTCAAACCTGATACTTTCCATTAAAAATTTGTTTAACGAACAATAATTAGCATAAATGTTAATAAATGACTTTTGACTGAACATAGACAATATACTCATATCGCATTTAATTGAAGCAATTTTAACGATATTAAAAGAAAAGTTTGAGCTTTATACGTGAATTTTGTCTAAAGGAGACATAGACATTTCTACAAAGATTTAAAAAAGTAACATCTATAAGATGAAGATTCGCACAATGTTTACCGGCACGACCGACTGTTTTGGCTTGCCGCATCTGATCGGTTGTCTGTTGGTGCCGTTCATCTTGCTGATAACACCACATACGTTGCAAATATAATGTCCGGTACCGTCGCGTTTCCAGAAGGGTGTCATGGTGCTGGCACAATTTAAGCAATCCTTTTGTTCGCTCGCGATCACGGCACCATCGAAGGATTCTTCGGCACCCGAAATGGTTTGCCAGGGACCAGATAGACCATTTCCAGCAGCTGTTGCGACACTGTAACCACCACCCGAATAGAGTTGCATATTTGCAGCGTCGCTAACTATCGTTGTCACGCTGGGATAAGTTTGAACGTATTCAAGAGACGTTGGAGGTGAAGGTGTGCCACTGGTAGGCCAATATGGGTCGTTGCTAGGTTTAATGTATTGATAAGACGTAGCTGTGCTAGGTCCATAGAGAGTGACTTGAGATCCCGGAGAGCCTGGTTGTTCGTAATGAAGAGAGACTGTACGTGTAGTGCCTAAAGACGAAGCTAACGTTGGGTCACCTTTGATGTAGGCGCTGTTGGGAGACTCGACCTGTTGAATAATAAAGATGTCATGTTGGCGTTTCAATATATTTTTTCAATAATAAATTTAATAAGAATAAAACATTAAATACTAACTTCGGCGCATCGGGGTCCAGGATGACTAGTAGGTGGGTAAGTGATAAAAAGTTCCGATGGCTTTGGATATGTATACGTTGGAGCTTGTTGAAAAGTTTCACTACCCGATATATATTGAGTATATTGAACCGTCTGCGAGGGTGGTATGGCGACGGTCTCGAGGGTTGTGTAGGTACTCGAAACTTTGATATTTTCCGTGGCAACGGCCACTTCGGTATCGTATTTGATCGTCGCAGCGACAGCTGCGTCGGAGTAACCAGAGGCAACTAATTGCTGTTGATGTTGATTCGTGCGTATGCCATCGATTGGCGGGGAATAAGTGGGTGTGGGTGAACTGAGTTGTACATTTCCTCCTGACTGGCTAACTATTCCTGACGTTTCATAATCCTCCGTAGTAGGAAGAGCTGGTGAGGTTTGATACCTCGGTGTACTATTCGCTGTATTGCTGGCACTATGATTACTCTCACGAGGACTGTACCTATGATGCGTCGTTGTTTGTTGACCACGACGACTGTTGTCTTGTACTTGCAACGTGATCATATTATTCTCTCTCCTTAGTTCCTGATTCTCATTGGTGTACGCATAAATACGGCCTACTTCATTTCTCTCCGTTGTTCCTCCCGTATTCTCATATCTTTATAAAGAAAAATCGCGAAAATGATGATATTTCAATAAAAGAAATGTACAAGAGACTTTTTAATGATTAAGATTCATTATGATTATAAATACCTAGGTGATTGTTTAATAGTAAGAGTTATAGTTGAATCAGCACCATCGGAGACTTCAACGCTCCCATCCTGTCCATTTCTAGTCGCATAGACAACATGTTGTTGATCGTTACCATCTCTTTGCTGTTCCTCTGTATTATTCGCGTGAGAAATCTGCACATACTGTTGTTGTCCTTGCTGCTGCGTTTGTTGTTGTTGCTGCTCGTCTTGATATCCATGCTGATCTTGATCCGAGTGTTGATGCTGATGCATAGTTTGTTGAAGATTACTCGAAACAGCATTCGAATCCGGGGATTCAGCTTCAATCTCTGCTATATTTTCCGTAATATGTCCCGCAGTAGTGATCGTTCTAACGTGTCTCTTCGAAGTGATAACACTTTGCGGACTATCAGAGGGTTCTTCCGTGACATGTAATTGAGGGGAACTTTCGCCTGAATGATGCCCTTCCCACTCTATCTTTATGTCCTGTTTCACCAATGTCTCCTTCATCATATCCTATAACACCAAACACAGGTGTAGACCCACACATACATATATATAATACAAATACACGAATTTCGATGAATTCTTATTCATCCTATTACTTTTGAAATTATCAAAAAATATCGATAGGTGATCGATGATACACACACAGAAAAAAAAATACAAATCTCGAGAAATATTTCGAAACTAAGTTAAAACGGGAAATCAAACGAATTAATACGTGCAAAGATATTAGTCATCCCCCTTAAACAGTGGTGGGAGTAAAAAGTCTCGTTTAGGCACGCGACACCTTTGGTTAAATTTGAAAAGGACAGAGATAGAATTAGAGAGTTTGTTGAACGATGACAGGACAGGTAAAATAAAATGAGTGGAGCGGGCCGAGGAGAGGAAGGTAGAGCAACGTAGACACACCTCGTCCGTCTCCAGAAAAATGTTAGGAGACGTTCTATTTACAATGTACGCGTCACATTTCCGTTCGGAGATCCGTCAGACGTTAGTTTGACTTCCGGTTACGACGAGCACGCGACACAACTCTTCTTTCTTTGGCAAAGACCTCGCACGATTTCCGCCGGATCATCGACTCGTGTTCGACAAAATTCTACGAGACAACTTTCGACGATATTATTTTTACGGAAAAGTTTGCCGAGATCGTTTGCAAAAAGAACGTTTTACGATCGCTTTCAAGTTGACCGAATTTTTCAACTGACTTTTTAAATATCCTCTCGTTAATTTTGTTCTTTTTTATTTTTATTTTTCTTACACCGATTGAGAGTTCTTGAAAGACGAATGAATTTTTGTAGCGTATCCAAATTCAAACAAATCGGAATTCAGGCTTAAATGTGTTTCTCAATATCTCTCATTTTCTTTTTCATACATTTCTCTATATTAAAATTAATAGTATTTTGAAGTAAGTATGGTGAGAAAATCGATAAATGACTATTCAAAATGAAAGTTAGAAATATATTGATTTAATTAATTTAAATATGGTAAATATCAAGGAAATAAATTTTGATATCATTATGATATACCATATCAAATATTAATTTGGAAAAATATCACTTTCCATATTAAATGGATAAAATTGTTGTCATTCATAATACAAATGATCGTATATCTTTATCATATTCTGTCTCAATAACTATAATACTTTTTTTGAAAAAAAAAAAGAAAAGTAATCCTTTCTCTATCTACAATAAACTAACAATATTTACTATTGTTATCCGCAAGCATTCGATACAATTATAAAAATCCTTTCAAGTTTATCGCTAACTGTAAAATGTAATTAACAAAAAGCAATCATTTCTTGAGATAAAATAATGAGAAAGTAAACATTTTTCAAAATAAAAAGCAAACAAAATTACCTCAGCAGCTGTGTGTCGCATTTGTTCAACAGTATAGTTCGTACTTTTATAATAAATTTGTTTCTTCATCCACTAAACTACTTAAAGTTTCTCTTTCTGTCTAATTATATATCTCACAAGGTACACAAAAACATTCCACAAGTACATCCACTTTCTTCGTGAGTACAAACTCGAAGTAAAAAAAAAAAAAAAAACAAAAAGTAGAAAAATATTTAAAAGAATAATAAATGATTGTCAAAATGTGACAGAGATAAAATGAGGAAAGGAAAGGGAATAGAAGCGACAGAAGAAGAATAATAAGATGAAAGAACAAGAAAACGGGTGAAACGTTCGAGTCACCAAGTCGAACTGATGAGGAGACCGAACTCGACGTGTTGCACGAGGCAATATACGAAGTGCGAATGAGTTAGAAAGATACGAAAAGAAGTAAAGAAGGAAATAGAGAGAGAGAAAGAGAGAGAAAGAGTTTGAAGAGCTTTGGGGAATGTCAGTGGAAATATGACTTTTTGTACGCTCGAGTACATTCGACTACAGCAATACTGTCTCTCCCGCTTTTTCCTTTTGTTTGATTCAGCAATGGCGGGTGTTAAGTATCCGTATGAAAAGGAGAGGAAGAGAGAGAGAGAGAGAGAGAGAGAGAGAGAGAGAGGGAGAAAGAGAGAGAAAAAAAGAGAGAGAGTTTATTGTGCAGTCTACCATTCGATTCGAGGGAAAGAGGGGAGAAAAGCGTTGCAACAGGCAGCGAAACGCTGGAGGAAGTAACTCGAGCAGTCGTTTGGGCGGACCCTCGCACCTCATTGGTCACTTCTCCGTCCGATATTATCCTTTCTGCGCCTGTTGTCTCTGTCCATGTACCATCGTAACACCGCGATGCTTCGAACGAACGAACGCTTCGTGATCTATTCGTTCAATTGATCGACTGATCTCTTTTTTTATATATATTATTATACTTATCTCTGATGAATTTCAACTGTTTTATGGTTGATCATTTTTGGGATAACTTAAGGATATCTAAAAATAAGATCTTGAGTAGGTAAAAAGAAAAAAATACAAAATAATTCATGATAACAGAAAATCCAATCGAATCGAATTTTTTTCTAATTTGAGAGAATTTTCAAACATAAATATTTATTGAATTTGTGTAAGTGTTTGGAACTCTTGCTCAAATAATCCGACTAGGGAAAGTACCTGTATTTTCTTCGATGACGAAAATGAGTTTATGGAGAAACCCGATAGAAACTCTAGATCGATAAGTAGGGGAACAGAGAAATAGAGTGTATGGATGAGAAGGATAGAAGATATATTAAAACGTTTATACGTTAAGGTATATATTTGTGTATATTTGTCTCTGTGTGTGTGTGTGTGTGTGTGTGTGTGTGTGTACTAAAAAGAGACAAGTATAGAGAAAATGGGTAAGTTTAAATGAAAAAGAGAGAAATAGAAGATTGGAATGGTGGAACAGGGGGAGAAAAATCGATGGATAGGGAAAAAAGCAAGCAGAGGGATACACGCTTGTTTATTTTTCTTATCGAATATCCACGTTGAAGTTGGCAACGAACAAGATAAGGGTAAGGGAAGGGCGATGAAATCGGAGTGAGGAACGAAGATGACGGCGATGACGACGCGATGTTAACGTTGACATCATGCCAGCCATCATTACTAAGCTCCATTTGCCATTTTTTATCTTCCTTCGATACAATTTTTGTATGTAGGGGATGATCGGTCTCGAATTATTAATAATTAATTTTTTATGCTTAATAAATGATTATATTTTGTTGTTATTATTATAGAAGTGATTTATCGTTTAATCCATGCTATTAATCATAGGATTAATATTTAATCATTAAATTGTGTGTGTGGATCGTTTTTTTCTACACTCATAATTTTAGGTTTTCGATACTTTATATACTCTCACGTGTGTTTAACAATATAATTTAAATTAATTATTTATCTTTTTTTTCTCTTTGTATTTTTTTCTAATTGGTGAAACACATGTCCTATGTAATTTAATAGAAGAATCAACGATAGATTCTTAAATGTAGAAATATTTTCTTTTCATTAATCGTTTCTTGCATAACACGAATTCGTTTTTGTATTGTTTTGTAACGAATCGATCTTCTTGGTCGGTCGATCGATCGATCAATCATCCAGGGACTCGATCGAGCCCCAGATAAAAAGTTAAAAATGCCTAAGGCTGACATGAGATAACGTTTAGATACGTAAGAATACAGAATTTTTATCTTGAAACTTTTCTATAATAAAATAATATAACTATAGTAATTAAGAAAAAATTAAAAAAAATTTTTTAAAATTAAAATAAAATATAGAAACAACGGGTCTGTTATGTATATTCCAAGATGATTTATATTTTGTAAAAAAATTTGATTTTAATTTTGATTAATCGATCTCAAACAAACAATAACATTTCGAGGAGAAAATGTTAAATGATCTTTATTTAAAAAAAAAAAAAAAAAAAAAAAAAAAAAATCAGATAAGTATTACTTATATATATCCACATAAATACGTATGTGTGTGTGTATTTTTTGGAAAATTTTGTAACCTTTGCTCAAAAAGATGANCTGTTATGTATATTCCAAGATGATTTATATTTTGTAAAAAAATTTGATTTTAATTTTGATTAATCGATCTCAAACAAACAATAACATTTCGAGGATATCGAGTTACAAGATAAATCTTATTAATGAAAAAAAAAAAAAACAAAAATAAAATAAAATCAGATAAGTATTACTTATATATATCCACATAAATACGTATGTGTGTGTGTATTTTTTGGAAAATTTTGTAACCTTTGCTCAAAAAGATGAAATCAAATGAAAAGATGAATCGATACATTGACTGGAAGAATCGTTCTCACGTATTTGGTTCGTCGTTGATTCGGCGATACCGATGAGGAGAATTCGTTGCGATAGAAATCATGAACATCGTAAGCTCGTTCTCGAACTAATATTTTGACTTGCTGATAAGAAAACGTAAGTACTTATAAGTAAGTGGCTAAGGGAAGAGTTTATGGCACGTATACCTTCCTTACGGTTACACGAATAAAGTAAAAAAAAGAAGAAGAGAGAGAAAAAGAAGATGAACAAACATGATCAAAAAGATTTGAAAAATGTTGTCGCAAGAAACGATAAGGTGACCCGAATGACTACTTGAGAATTTTGCGAATTATATTCTTTTCGTTGAAATATCCTACGTTATTTTCGATCATTATTACGGAGTTTTACTTGTATTTCCTACATCGTAAAAAAATGAACGTTTCGAAAAGGATAATAAAAAATGAACAAATCGATCTATTGCAAAATACTAATATGATTCACACCAATTAACGCGATCTGTCTTTCACATGACGAAACGCAAAGGGATGATCGTTAAAGTTTATTCGATAATTTTGGAAATAATGACCATTTGACAGGTAAAAGTATTTGTATCTTAATGATTACAACGCTCATTAATAAAATATTTAAGAACATTGATACCGAAGAGAGGTTTCTTTTAACTTACAATTTCAAATAAAGACGAACGTGTTTCTGCGTTATATATATATATATATATACCAACGTGTAAGATCAGATAAGGGTTTTGTTCTTATCGCAAAAAACAAAATTAAGTGCGAACGTAGCCGATGACGAGTTTTCAGTAGAAATTTAATGACAAGCGTTCGACGCATCGTCATTCGCACGAATTGCATCTTTCTTCGAAGCAAAGACACCACAGACTTTTTTTTTTATAGACCGTTGTACAATATTAATCCTTCGAGCTTTTTAAAGAAACAAAAAAATAAAAAATATTCTTTATCGATCGAGAGAGAAAAAAATGTCAAAAAGCAAATAATAAATTTGACGTGTAACCCGTGAAAAAACAAAATCCTCTTACATTATAGTATTGTACCTTTATCAGAAAATAAATCAAAGATAATGCTAAATTCAAACTAAAATCAAACTGGATCACTATCTTATAATTAACGAGAATACATACAACCGAAATCTCATCTTATCATTAAAACCAACAACTAGCAGGTTCAAAGACCGAACAAAATTGAACCGAAAACTTGAACAATCCTGATTCTTGCTTATCATTCTTAGGGTAGTCCTGCATCTCTCTCTCTCTCTCTCTCTCTTTCGTTTTCTTTCTCATTATTTATTGAAGTAGAAGTCATAAGATAAATCTGATAGCTTTTAAAAGGGACTGCTGAAAAAAGGATAAAAACGATAAGAAAGAAGAAGTAGAAAAAGAGATAATACAGGTATATACATAAGTGTTATGAAAAAAGGATAATACAGGTATATACATAAGTGTTGGTCTTCTCAACAGACGAGACAGCAGGCACGAACAACCGCACACGCTCTCTCTGTCAAAATAAACGGCACTATCGCGATTTATCTCGTTTCCCATGATAATAAGAGATAAAACTGCATCCTTACATTAGCTACTATATCAGCTAAAATGATAATTTCAGTCGTCGGATTCGCCAGGAAGGTGTAGGGCCGTGGTGTTCCTCTAACTTTTCCGAGTTTTCGAATCGACTTCAAAAACGTTTGACTCGTCGAAACTGAAGGAACGTACTGATCGATCGAAACATTTCATTTTATCGACATTAGTGCCTGGTGAAAGTGATGTAAATAATTAACCATGATCGGATAGTCCAAATTTTGTTGAATGGTTACGGTGTCGCGAGCACTCCCCTGAGAATCTCTCGAAAGGCACGGAATCCCATCCTCTTTCTGATCAATGACAGATCACAATGAGTTAATCTTCTCTTCGCGTAAGACTTCGATTATTTATTAGTTTGAATATTTTTTGTTTTTCTTTTGGAGTGATCAACGAACTGATGGAAATACGTTTTTGGAATAGACCTATTGGATTTATTTTCCAAGAGAAACGAAAAATAAAACGATAAATCGTTTGAGAATTACTTGAAACTAGTTTATCTTCGATCTTTAATTAACTTTGGTGTTGTTATTAAAAGAAGAACATTTACTTTGTCTCGGGAGACTCGATAATAA